AAAAAAAAAAAAAAAGAAAAAAAGAAGAGAGACCCCGGGAAGGTAAGTGTAAAGCCAGATTCCAGCAGGTCGCAAGCCGTATTAAAGCTAATCGTGTGGCGGCCCCGGGGGAGCGGCGCGGGGCCGGCGGGGAAGGCACGGGCGGCTCAGCAGGCGGGACGCAGCGGCACCTGGAGCAGGATGACCTGCCGGTTCTCCGAGGGGTGGCACTTGTTGATGTGCCGGGTGAGGCCGGGCGAGCTGTAGAAGGTGGCCGGGCAGTACTTGCAGGGGAAGACCTGGGCGGCGTGGAGGAGGCGCAGGTGCCGCTCCTGGCTGCTCTTGCTGGGGAAGGTCTCCCCGCAGACGGGGCAGAGGCGGCACTCGGCGGCGGGCGGCTCCTCGGCAGCGGGCTCCGGGGCCGGCGCGGGGGCCGGTGCGGGTGCCGGTGCGGATGCGGGGGCCGGGGCGGTGTGCCCCAGCAGGTGCTTGCGCAGGTAGGCTTGCCGGCGGAACCGCTTGGAGCAGCGGGGGCACTCGAAGAGCCCCTCCTCGGAGCCCGCCTCCGAGGCTCCGCCAGGGCTCGGCGTGTCCCGCTCGCTGCCGCTGCCGCCGCTCGCCTCCTTCGGCGGCTCCTCCGCCGGGCCCGGGGCCGCGGCCGGTGCCCGGCCCGCCTCGGGGCCACCCTTGGCTGCGGGCGGGCGCGGCTTGTGCCAGCGGCGGTGGGAGGCGAGGTTGGCGGGGCAGGAGAAGACCTTGTCGCACTCGGGGCAGCGGTACTCCACCCGGACGATGCGGGAGCAGCGGTGCTGCGCCAGCGCGAAGGGGTCCCCGTACTCCTCCTTGCAGAGCTGGCAGATGAACTCGCCCAGCGGGCGGGCGCAGCCGCCCCGCGCCTTGGCCGGCGCCTCCACCGGGCCCTCCTTGATGCGCAGCCCCAGCACGGGCGAGGTGGTCACTTCGTCCTCGAAGGTCAGCTTGCGGATCGCCTTCGTCTTCTTGCCCGACGGGGCCTTGTGCCGCCCGGGCTCGGCCGCGCCCGGCGGGCGCTTGTTGGGCGGCGGGCGGCCCGAGGCGGGCGGCGCGGCCGGGGCGGGCGGCGCGGGGGCTCCGCCGGGGCCGGGGTGGGCGGCGGGCGGCTCGACGTGGCCGGCGGCGGCCCAGAGCTTGAGCTCGGCCGGGGCGAATAGGAGCGGGTCCATGGTGCCAGGCACGGCCGGGGCGGGGAAGGACTCGGCCGAGACGGGTGAGCCCAGGCTGAAGCCGCGCTCCAGGTACTTGTCCCTGCTGACGGGCCGCGTGGGGCTGTACAGCGCCTGCACGGCGGCATCGGGCGTCCCGAAGGGCACGGGCGGCGGCGAGTCTCGCGGCGGGGGCGGCGGCGCGGCGGGGC